AATACCTTGTGTTCTCCCTTCCATTACGCCCTTGGCATGGTACCTTGAGGAAGGGGAACAGAGCCTCCTACACGTGCGTTCGGGGGTGGACGGCGACTTGGTAACTCTGGGGTATTTCCCAGAATTGCCATGTGGTGGCTAACTGCCGCTGAAACCGTGAGGTTTCGAAGCCGAGTCACCCCTTAGTACCGCGACGATTTACGACGGGCCTTACTTGCAAATTAAGTTGCAAGGGTGTGACCGTGCTGATCAAAAAAGGTCCGTTTTGTTTGTCACGTAGACAGACGAAGCTTTTCTGCAATTGCCCCGTCGTAAATCCATCTTGGCTGAACCTCTAACACCGCCCCTTTGGCATAACTGTATTAATTGATCGCGAATTGCCACGACTTCCTCGCGGTTCTGAGCGTCGGTTAAAAGGTCTACATAAAAATCTTCACGTAAAACTGTTGCTGCTTGCGGAAAGGCGTGGCCTTCGTCGTTTGCGAGTTGTTGGAGTGTGCGAGTTGCGAGAAAAGGAGCTGCCGACGTGCCGTAGATGATGGTGTTCAATGCATATTGTTTATGCTCGTGGTAATGATTCGCAAATCTATTGTCGAGCCTTGTTGAGTTTGCACGTGGTGTGCCGACTTTATTTTTATTTGACTTCTCGAAGGACCACCCCGATATCTTCAGGGAACAAATTCTATTTATTTTCCACGTCGCACTGGACTTCAAGAAATAGACTATATATTCTACTAGGATTCTAAGTGGTAACTTGCTGCTGTTCTTGGCTGAACTGACTCTCGTTTTTCGTCTTGAGCGTCTTCGAGACGCGTCCAACTAAGGACACGCTGATTGGCAGATAATTCTGAAAATTACCTACCAATCTAGCCGTGCTGTTCACACCCTTCCAGTGCGCCCTTAGCGCGATCTTTCTGGAAGGGTGGGAGACGGTTATAAGGGGGGCGAAAGTTAGTAACAATCCGGGAATTTCCTCTGGGTCGGTGAAAATACCGGCATGGCCAGTTGTACCCTTCGGAGTTCGTAATTTATGGCAGGTCCTTCAGCTATCGAGCGCGAGGAGACACGACTTTCTAAAAAATATAACGAACTAATTGCCTTGCCCCGGCAGGATGGCCGGAAACGCGTATGAATGGAAAAGCAAATTCTGCAACTCAAAAATAGCCGTTCGGTACGGTCGTGCCATAAATCGTGCCAACGAAGCTCTAACATCCTCGATAAAAAGTATACACGTAGAAATGACAATTAAATTAATCGTGTAAATTAATCTAAGAAATTTTGCTCCATAATAACGTTGAATACAATAATCCATCGTTCAATTGTAAATTATTAATTTTCCCAAAACAGGGTTATTTACCAATTTTCCTACCTTGATGGAGACCACCCGAACGATTCCGTCCGAGCCTGGATGTAGCTCCACAATTCGGCCTAGGCGCCATTTTAGGGGGGAAGTGTTGTCCTCCCGTATCACCACCAGCGCGTCCAGTTTGATAGCGTCCGGTGACCTAAGCTGCCACTTATGCCGTTGTTGCAATTCGTGCAGGTATTCACGATGCCATCGTTCCCAGAAGTGCTGGACAGTCTGCTGGGTCAGCTGGTACCTATTCAATCTACCTTGCTTGAGATGGATTAAATCGGGTTGTGGAGAATCGGGTTAGGGCGTCGCCAATAAGGAAGTGGCCCGGGGTTAGAGGTGCGAGATCGGTGGGATCGCAGGACAGAGGAGAGAGGGGGCGAGAGTTTAGGCAAGCTTCTACTTGCGTTAATATCGTGTACAATTCTTCAAAGGTTAGCCGTTGGTCACCTATAACTCGTTTCAAGTGATGCTTGACCGATCTGACCGCACTCTCCCATAGGCCTCCGAAATGAGGTGAATATGGTGGAATGAGGTGCCACTGTATCTGTTCTTGGGCTAATACGGTTTGAACGCGGCTATTGTGTTTCGCGTTCGTGAGTAACGCCCCTAATTCGTTAAGCTTGGAGCGAGCTCCTATGAAGGTTTTTCCATTGTCTGAATAGATACAGTGGCTCCGTCCCCTGCGTGACATGAATCTATATAGGCAATTCAAAAATCCGTCGGTTAGACAAGTCTGTGGCTAGTTCGATATGTATTGTTTTCGTGCTAAAACAAACGAAGATGCATATATAGGATTTGTAGGTTGCTCGCGCTCGTCCTCTTTCCTTGAGCATGAATGGCCCGGCGTAGTCAATCCCGCAGGTAGAAAACGCTCGTGCCGGGGTTACACGGGCGGCGGGCAAGTTTCCCATTATGGGGGTAATATCTAGGTGAAACCTTTCAGAAAATCGAAAAAATTTTTTTTATCTTAAATGATGTATTAGAGTCTTAAAAATAAGGTACAATAGGTCTTATACGGGAAAAAGTTTTTAAAGTGGTTTTACAGCTAATGTTTTAAACTAAAGCGTGATATCGTCTAAGCACGTCGGAGCAGCGCGCAGAGATTCAAGATTTCTAAGCTCCTCCTAAGGCATATAATATCTATTGCTAACGAATAATAAGTTCCAGTATATTCTTATAGGTGGTGCTAATACTAAACAATTGAAATATATACTATGTAACGCCAGTATAACCTTTAAAACGACGCTGTTCGCTCTCAATCTAGAACGTTCGTGCTTCAATTTGCAAAGCTGTGTAGATAATTGTTATCACCATGAGTGATAAAGTGTACAGATCAAAGAAAGGTACTAAGAAGAAAACGTGGTCTTCACAAAGAAGTAAAATCACAAATAGGCAAGTGCTCAATCGATACTCGATAGAAAGAGAATCTGAAAGCGTCAGTACATCGGCTAAGAAACTAAAGCTGTCGAAAGATGAATGTAATGTTGAAGTAAATGTCTTGTTTGGATATCGACTAATAAATTTCCTCACGATTTTTTCTGCTCTTTCTGAAAATCTGGTATGTAAACGATGTGGTAGAAATGTGACATTTACAGAAGCGAGTCAACGTGGTTTAGGCTTTAAACTTGTAATTTCTTGTGAAAAGTGCGAAAAGATTTATGTAAATAGTTGTCCCTTAATTAACAACGCATACGAAGTTAATCGCCGAATAATATTTGCAATGCGTTTACTAGGAATTGGTCTAAATGGTATTATTAAATTTTGCGCAATTATGGATCTCCCACGGCCGATTTTTCAAACAACGTATGATTGTATTATTAATAACATTCTCGTCGTAACGGAAGCTGTTCGTATGAAATCTATTAGGAAAGCAGCTGAAGACGAAAAGAAACTGTCTACAGAAAAAGGACAGACGAATGGAATTACTGTGTCCGGCGATGGATCTTGGAGAAAGCGAGGATTTTCGTTGCTTTATGGATTAATCACACTTATAGGATGGTCCACTAAGAAAGTTGTCGATGTTATTGTTAAATCGAAATATTGTAAGAGCTGCGAATTTTGGAAAAAGAAGGAGAATACTGCAGAATACAAAGAATGGGCTGAGTCGCATGTAGAGCAGTGCCAAGCGAATCATGAGGGGTCCGCTGGAAAGATGGAAGTGGATGCAGTTGTCGAACTATTTTCACGCTCCGAAGATCTTCATAATGTTAAATATGTCAATTACATCGGTGATGGAGACAGCAAGACATTTAAAGGAATTGTGGATGCTGGACCATACAATGATATTTCCGTTTGTAAAAAAGAATGTATCGATCATGTGCAGAAGCGTATGGGCAGTCGACTCCGGATTTTAAAAAAGAACACGAAAGGTCTTGGCGGAAAAGGCAAGCTAACCGGCAAATTAATCGATGAACTCACTATATATTACGGCTTGGCCATTCGTCGAAATCCGGATTCTATAGAAAAAATGCGGAATGAGATTTGGGCAACTGTTTATCACAAACTTTCGACGGATCAAGTACCACAACATTATAAGTGCCCTGTCGGTGTAGATTCGTGGTGCTCGTGGCAGAGAGCAAAAGTCTTGGACAGTTTACATGAATATCAACATAAAACTCCTCTTTCACAAGACATTTTCAATGCCATAAAACCGATATATGAAGATTTGAGTAGAGATGATTTACTCAATCGTTGTTTAGGAGGATTCACACAGAATAGCAACGAAAGTTTTAATGCAACAGTGTGGTCGATTGCTCCGAAAACGTTGTCAAGTGGCACAAAAATTGTGGAAATTGCTGCAAATATTGCAACTGTCATCTTTAACGATGGCTTTCAAAGTGTAATGGAAATTATGCAAGTACTAGAATTGACTGTGGGCCACCAGTGCTATAATTTCTGCGTCGAGGCTGACGCACGCCGCGTCAGATTTGCCGAGCGCGCCTTGACTGGTGCCGCTAAAGACGCTCATAGAACCTCGAAATCGTCAAGGAAAGAGGAACAGGAGGAAAATATTGCTATAGAAGGACAGTTATATGGTGCAGGTATCGCAGATTAAAGGTGTATTAAAGATTTCTATACTGTAAGTATGAAATGACATTACTCAAAACTGTAAACGCGTTTTTCTCGAAACCACGTTTTTCAAATTGGCTTGCAGCATAACTTTAACAAATTTTATCCGATTTACTTGAAATTTTTATAGTAGCTACTAAACTAAATTATCTAGAGAAGTACGTAGGATTTTTTCGATCGGTTAACAACTTTTTTTGTTATAAATATTTATTCACTGAATCTTTTGGGTGAAAATAAAATTTTTCTTTACATGTTCGCCATTTCTACAAAAATGAATTTTTTAACATATGCCTACGTACTTCTCTAGCAAATTTAATGTAGATTATAAAAATATTTTGCTTTTTGTTCTTAGTGAAAGTGTACAACACTTCTGCTGCAAGCCGTAGAGGCCTATGGAAAAACATCGTTTTATATGCAGAACTCCAGCGTCGCCATTTTTAAATAAAATCAGAAAAAAAATTTTTTTATATTCCTTACGTAACACACACTAAAAGCCTATAAACCGCATTTCCATATGTTTTCTTATTTAGCTGCAAAAAATTCCCAAAGTTACCCTATATTCTCAGGCGTTCACCTAGATATTACCCCTTAAATTGTTCGTACCTGTTGGGCGAACTCTGAAGCACTTGATGCACTGATCTAATATTTTTTTTACTACCTGTTTGCCCGTTATTGGCCAAAATTGTGCGCGTAGTGATGCTAAGGTTAATTGGTGACCGGAATGGAGTAATCTACGATGCTCGTGCTCGACTATGAGCTTAGTGAGTGGGTGCTTCGCGGGTAGGATCATTGGGTGTTTGTGCTCGTATGCGATAGGTGCGTTATCGAGGCGACCGCCCACCCTGATTACTCCGGCGTTATCTAAAAATGGGCTCAAAGCCCTCAGCACGCTTCGAGGGTTCAGAGACCGTTTTTTAATTAACGCGTCTACTTCCAAGTTGAACTGATCTCTTTGAGCGAGTTTTACTAATACTATTTCGGCGTCGATTAACTCGTGTGTGGTTAGGTACCGCGGATTCAAAGGATTCGCTTGTGAGGCTGGATGCGTTAACGATTCTTGTCCAACCTTGCGTCGAAATCTTAAACAGTACGCCGTGATTCTACGCAGTGTTGAGTAATTAGAGTATCGCGACAGGAGGTCGAAGGGTTTGTCAGCCTTGCTGGTTGACACTAGACAGGTTGCCTTGACTTTCCGTACCTCAGGTATATCTTGAGGGGAAGGTTGTACCGAAGGCCATTGACCGGCCTTCTGTGCAAGCCAGTACGGACCGAACCACCATAATTCGCAATTTGTCAAAGACTTAGTGTTAGCGCCGCGCGAAATTATGTCCGCGGGATTGTCGTTCGAAGATACGTGATTCCAAACACCGCGCGCCGTCAGCTGCTGTATCTCCGAGACTCTATTGGCTACGTATTTGGTCCATTTACTCGGAGGGCTCTTGAGCCATGCTAGCACAATTGTCGAATCGGACCAATAAAATTCATCCGTAATGGACATTTGTAGTGCGCCTTTAGCCTTCGATGTTAACTGGGAGGCAAGAAGTGCCCCACAAAGTTCCAATCGCGGTAAGGTTGTTGACCTGAGCGGCGCTACTCGGGACTTCGCGCACAACAATCGGGCCGTCGAGGCTCCGGCTTTGTCTACCGTACGCAGGTATACGCAGCTCCCGTACGCCTTTTCTGAAGCATCCGAGAAGGCATGCAGTTCGATGCGATCACTATCGTGACTGATTACATGACGCGAAATTGATATTGAGGAAATTGTTTGCAATTCCTCCCGAAAGGCTGACCACTGCGTGTGGAGATCTTGAGGAAGTGTCTCATCCCAATTTATTTTCAGTTGCCATAAAGACTGCATGAACAACTTCGCCTTCGTCACTATCGACCCTATTAATCCGAGAGGATCGAAAATTTGTGCAATTTCCGACAATACGGTGCGTTTAGTAGTGCGTCCCGACGATTGCTTCCCGATGGAATACCGAAGGTCGTCGGTGCGGGTCATCCATAACAACCCTAATGTTTTTGGATCTTGATCCGCTGCTCTAATTTCTATTGACTCTTGGTGAGGATGTTGTGATCCTAACGTCTCGCTATCGTTGCTTGCCCATTTTCGTAACGAGAATCCTGCCCGCGCGAGGATTTCGGTTAAGTCCTTCCGTATTTTTATGGCGTTTGAAATAGTTTCGCAGCCGGTTAGCAGATCGTCGACGTAGAAATCGTTGACTATCGCGCGACTTGCTGCTGGGAACGCGTGGGCATGATCGAGACCGATCTGCTTTAGTACGCGGGTGGCTAAAAATGAGGCTGATGCAGTACCATATGTTACGGTATTTAGCTGATACACTTTGATGGGTGCGTTGCCACTCGGTCGCCACAAGATTCGTTGAAAATTGCGGTGCTCCGGGTGCACGAGAATTTGCCTATACATTTTTTCTATATCCGCCGAGAGTACGAAGCGGTGTTTGCGGAAACGAATGAGGATTGAAAACAGGTCGCTTTGTACGGTTGGCCCTACTAGTTGCGCATCGTTTAATGATACGCCTGATGAACCCTTTGCCGATCCGTCGAAAACGACCCGAATCTTCGTGGTGCTAGATTGTTTAAAGACAGCATGATGGGGTAGATAGAAGTTTGGTTCCGTGCAGATTACTTTCTGGTCTGTCAGTTGCGTCATGTGTCCTAGTGTATTGTACTCAGTCATGAATTCAGTGTACAGTCTATTAAGCTCTAAGTTTTTCGAAAATCTACGTTCTATTCTTAATAAACGGTTTTCGGCTTGTGTGCGCGATTGTCCGAGTTCGCCTAGTTTGCTATTGAATGGAATTTTAACTATGTATCGTCCCGTTTCGTCTCGTGTCGTCGTGAGATCAAAGTGCGTCTCGCTGGGATCGGTCGAACTACCTGAGGTTTCTATTGACGAGGGTTGTACTTCTTCAATTTCCCAAAATTGGGAAATCGTTCTATTCAAGTCTGTGGTCATCACTGAGTGGCAGGTGCTTCTGTTCGTAGGATGAGGGCTAATCAAACTGATTACACTACCGCCCAAAACCCAGCCTAATCTAGTCTTCTGCCACACCAGGTCGCTTGAGTCTACCCTTTGTTGTCCAATGCACAGCAATTTCCAAAATAGACCGGCTTCTATCAATAAATCTATGCGCGATTTTTTGTTGAACTGCGGATCGGCAAGCGTGATGTTTGGTGGCACGCAGATTTTTAGGAAATTGGTAGGCAAGTTCGGCATATCGTCAGTAATGTCCTTAATTACTAGACACGAGAGGTTCGTGCGAAACTTGTTGTCCCGCGAATGAATTACTACGTCTGATTTATATTGAATTGTCTTCGATGCTCTGCCGAGACCGCCGACAACTGTCTTTATAGAAGAACGCGAAAATCCTAATTTATCAGATAGCTCTTCTGTCACGAAGTGTGCTTGCGATCCTACGTCTAATAACGCGCGACATTCATGCCTTTTACCGTTCCTATCCTCTACATAAACGATCGCGGTCGATAGGACCGTATACTCTATCGCAGTACTCACGGAATTTGACACGCACGATGGTATGGAGCTATCTGATGAATCTACGGATGCTATCTCTTGGGCCGGCTCTTCTCGATGAAGAAGAGTATGGTGTTTTTTCCCACATTTCCTACACATTCCACGCGTACAATTTTTGATACTATGCCCTTGTTGGAGACAATTGAAACACAATCGGAGGCGTTTAATTGTTTCATGCCGTTCAAGGGCTGGCAGTGCCTTTAACTGCCCGCATTGTTGTAGCAGGTGCTCACCTTTGCATAGTGCGCATTGATTGCGCGTACTCGAAGCGTGAGCGGCTACCGTTTCCGACCTGCCCTGAAATCTATGCGCGCGACCCTTCTTAGCCTGCTCGGATACCTGCGCGATCGTCTGTGGGTTCGTGGCTGCCCGTTCGAGTCTTTTTGCCTGTTGTTCAATAAACTCGACGAAGTCATTGAACTTCTGTTTACGTATCGCGTTTGTAGCACGCATGTCCCATGCCTCGAAGGTTTTCGAATCTAATTTTTTAGCTAGCATGATGATCATTAGTGTGTCCCATGCCTCAATCGGTTCGCCTAATGCACCTAACGCGACCAATTGATTGTTGGCCTTGTCAATGAATTCTCGAAGCGAAGAACTAGTTTGTGCCGCGATATTCGGTATTTCTAAGAGCGAATTTACATGATGATGGATCAACGAATCGGGATCTTCAAATCGTCTTTTCAAATTGGCCCAAGCAAGTTTGTAATTCGCGTCAGAAGTCAGAAACAGCCAGTGTTTCTATGGTGCGCGCGGCCGCACCCTTTAACGCCGAAGTTAAATAATGGAATCGTTGTATGTCTGTAAGCGATTCGTTATTGTGCACCATTGTCGAAAATGTATCGCGGAAACGTACCCAATGATCGTACTTTCCGTCAAAACTCGGTAGTGTGATGATCGGTAGTCTTGGAGCGCCTTGCGGTTCCATAGCTGCCGTGGGCACGGTGCTCGTAGACGCGGTGAGCTCTCGGGGCCCGCGCAAATTCGCGATAAGCGTTTCCGCTTGCGCAATTAGGGGAAAAAATACGTCTTCAAAGGCATCCCGTTCATCAAGGTGTTGTGTTTCAGAGTCCGAACCCGTCACAAGTATTTCGATTTTTGATTGAATACTATCAAATTTAGCGTGCAAATCTTCGTATGCTTTAACCTTTCTTTCTAATGCATCCGCGTTCATGTCGCCCGACGACGATTCGATAAAGCGCTTGAAACGAGTTAGCCTTGCTTTAATGGCTCCCCGTTCGGCAACTAATTGCTTTAGCGGGCTTTCTATTTCTATATAAATACGATATCGCAAGTAGAAATGAGTAAGGACTTACGAAGGGAGACAGAGTGCAAGAGTGGTGACGCTGCTTTGCCCAGTCCTCTAGATTCAGCTGAATCTCCGCTGCTGTGGTCCGGAACCGCTTGCTATCTTGTCCAGGGGCGTCACGCTCTTCAAGAATGAGGTGCACAGAAACCTTCCTGGATGGTTGATTCAGTTGTCGTCAGCTGCTCTGTGGATTCAGGCTGTTTTCCAGTCGTGATGTGGTCGTCTTGGTTGTTTAATGATCAGGACCCAAAGGGTTGAGCGCTCCTGATGATCTTCAATGTACTGGCATCCGGCTCGAAGGACCAATGTTTATGCTCGTGGTAATGATTCGCAAATCTATTGTCGAGCCTTGTTGAGTTTGCACGTGGTGTGCCGACTTTATTTTTATTTGACTTCTCGAAGGACCACCCCGATATCTTCAGGGAACAAATTCTATTTATTTTCCACGTCGCACTGGACTTCAAGAAATAGACTATATATTCTACTAGGATTCTAAGTGGTAACTTGCTGCTGTTCTTGGCTGAACTGACTCTCGTTTTTCGTCTTGAGCGTCTTCGAGACGCGTCCAACTAAAGACACGCTGATTGGCAGATAATTCTGAAAATTACCTACCAATCTAGCCGTGCTGTTCACGCCCTTCCAGTGCGCCCTTAGCGCGATCTTTCTGGAAGGGTGGGAGACGGTTATAAGGGGGGCGAAAGTTAGTAACAATCCGGGAATTTCCTCTGGGTCGGTGAAAATACCGGCATGGCCAGTTGTACCCTTCGGAGCGCGTAATTTATGGCAGGTCCTTCAGCTATCGAGCGCGAGGAGACACGACTTTCTAAAAAATATAACGAACTAATTGCCTTGCCCCGGCAGGATGGCCGGAAACGCGTATGAATGGAAAAGCAAATTCTGCAACTCAAAAATAGCCGTTCGGTACGGTCGTGCCATAAATCGTGCCAACGAAGCTCTAACAGTGTATAGCCGCGTTATCTTGTTGAAATGACCAATTGACGGTGTTTAGTCGTCCTATTATATTTACGGGGTTTTCCAAGCACGGGTCTGGAAATTATTCGGTCCTTCGCAGCAGTTGTAAAGGAGGATGTTAAAAAAGTGCCAAATTAGTACCCCTTCAGGCACCTAAAATTTTAACAAGGCATCATTCTATAAGTCTTAAGGCATCATAAACGCACAATTATTTATCTCAAATGTGATGGGAAAGTTATAAAAAATGTAGATGAAGTTGACGGTACTTCGAAATTCGAATTGAAACTTTCTGACTTCAGATGATCATAACTTCGAAATGAATGCATGAAATGAAAAAATTCAAACGCTATTCTATAGAGGAATGTCAATATTTATATAGTGTATAAAAACATATTGCTCAAACTGCTAATTAATAACAATAAAACACGACAAATTAAGATAAGGTGCTACCATGCAAATATTCCGTAAAATATGTTCGTTATTCTACTGTAACTTACTTCTAAAACAACATGAAATGCATCGAATATGAAGAATTGTTATTATATCTCATCCTTCTCTTCTTCAGATGACATTTATTCGATAAAATATTGGTTGAGGAAGTTAGCAGGTGAATGTGTGGACGTCTGATGTCGAGCAAACCCGATGTACCGTAATACTGTTGCAACGTGTAAACAACAACACCCCACTACCCGTTGGTCTATTTTGCACCCATGAATATGTCCAACAATTGTCCAATGTCCAACAATAATATATAAACAAAGTATTTCACGGAATTGATGTGACGTGAGTGCATTTGAGTTTTAACTAAAATACTATTAAAATCTATTGTCAAAGAAGTTGTTACTACTTGGAATTCGAAGTCGCTGTTTTCATTTAAGTGGTCAGTATAATATCCTGAAGCTTGTTTTATTTGATATGATGCGGATGAATATAAACAAAGATCATTAGTGTTTAATTGCGGGAAGAAATCAAGTGATACCAATTCAATGCGTTGAAATTGTGATCGACGTGCGTTTAAGTTTTCACTTCGTACTACTCCTGACAAATGAGTTTCTTTTGTGGAATGCAACGGCGACTTTGAATTCCAAGTAGCAACAACATATTTGACAATAGATCACCGCAAATACCACATCGACCTGGATTCTGGAAACAGTATTTTAGTTAAAATTCAAATGCACTCACAACATGGACATATTCGTGGGTGCAAAATAGGCTAACGTGTAGTGGAGTGTTGCGTCTGCGACGCAACAGAAATTACGCTGTTTCCAACCATCGCGAAGTCGTGTGAACATTTTATGGTTCTTCGAGCCGGATTTGAGTAGCGCGAAATCAGTTGTGATATCGAACGAGTCAAACCGTGAGTGAAATCAAGTATCAACTACATTCATCCAAGGCGGTCTACAAGCAACATCATTATTCAGATCCAGGGTCTTCAAGCAACAGCAGCATTCAAATCCAGGGTCTTCAAGCCACATCAGCATCCAGATCCAGGGAACGGAAGCTTGCCAGACTCGACAATCCTGAAGTCCTTGCAGTACAAGGTAGGCTCGTAAAATTCACCATTCCTTCGTAGTTTCCTCCTTTCAAAATGCAAAGCCGATCCGCTCCTTCAAATCCTTCCGCGAAGGCGTCAGCCAGCCAAGATAAAGATCTCCGCGTTCTACGTCGAAAACGTGGCAACATCATCGGTCAACTTCTCTGACAAAATTCCTCGAACAATACGAGACGACAGCGGACCGTGATAGATACTTAGTACAGGCCCATCTCGATGGAACCGTTCAAGCGTGCCAGAAGTTCGATGAACTTCAAGACGCTATAGAAGAATTGGACGAAACAGAGACAGAGACCGCCGATTTGAACTTCTCAAGAAGTATTACGCCGTCACAGCGCGGGCAAAGAAGCTGATAGATGAAGATCTCCGCGCGACCACAAATACTCGTGCGACACTCTCACTTACGACATCCACATCCACGCCCATCGCAGTCAAACTTCCAGAAATGCGTTTGCCCACCTCTGACGAGTCCGTAGAGGATTGGGACTCCTTTTACGACATATTCGAGTTGACCATCGACCGAAACGAAAATTTAACACCGGTCCAGAAATTATAATACCTTCGCAGCGCGTTAACCGGAAAAGACGCGACCTGTATTCGATCTCTAGCAACGAGCAGTACTAATTACGAGGTCGCGATTGAGCTACTCAAACTCAAATTTGACTGTACACACCGTATTCTACTGCGCCACGTAGACGCGATTCGCGACATCCCAAAGCTATCACGGGAAATGCCTGAGGCATTAGGAGAACTCGTCGATACGTACAATTTACATCTTCGCGCGTTAAGGAATATGGGCGAGCCGATCGAGGCATGGAACCACCGTTTTAGTCTCGAGCATACTATCCAAAGTTAGTTACAAGACCGCGTGGCAGTGGGAGTTAACATTAACGAATAAAAAAATGTCGTATACCACTCTCGTAGATTTTCTCGAAAAACGTGCGAATTGCGCCTCAGCGGTGAAACCCGGGAAAAGGGATTACAAGGGATTACAAGGATTCGCGACAAATATCTTCGGCCTCCCAAAAAACCGGACCACCACGGTCATACGCATTCGTCACGACCCAAAATCAAAGATCGTGACCTAATTGTAAAAAATCGCACGATACCTGGGCATGCGAGAATCTCTTCGCCCGGACAGCCCCTCAGCGTTTCGATATCGCTCGAAAAACACGCTTCCACACGCTATTACATCGATCGGGTAATACACGACAACATCTATCGTCACCCAGAGCCACGCAACTTACGCGATCTTCATCATCATCGTCGTCGTCAACGCTGCCATCCTCGCCATCGAAATCCTCGCGCAGATCGGAATCCCCACCTGAACGGCCACGTACAAAACAACATGACCGGAAAATACAACGGAAGTCATGTCCGAACCGATCAAGGTCGCGATCGCCCGAGAACGAGTCGAAAATCAGATTGACTAACACCTAGAACCTTGCCAAGCGCGTTTGTCGTCGACACAGCATCAAGCGATCTTTTACTAATTGTGCAGATCGACGCACTCAATAAGGATCGGAAACCCATCCGTTGTCGAACCTTGATCGATACGTGCGTGATGACAAACTTCATCATAGAATTCGCCAAAAAACTCGGACTTCCTAAAAAATCGACTCACGTACCCATCGGAGTGCTTGATACTCTGACAACAGTAGCTAAACACACTGTCGCCGTCTCTATCCGCTCCCGCACATCAAGCTACGAACGCACGCTGACATTCCTCGTGATTAAGGAAATTTCATCGCCGGTTCCGGATCAACAGATTGATCGATGGGGCCTCTCCATCCCAAAGAACATAAATCTCGCGGATGCGGACTTTCGCAGGATTGTGCGCAGGAGCAGCCTTATCGCTGTTATGCGTTGGCCAGATAAATCTCTCCTCTCCCAACGGCCCGGATTTGTATTTGCAAAAGACCAAATTCGGATTTTTGGGAGATCAAAGAAGATCCGCAGATACAACACCTTTTGAAATTGTAAACTACCTGCGAAGAACACTACAAGACTACCACAGTCCGCAACAAACAAGGCAGGTACGTCGTCGCTCTACCTTTCAACGAGAAGGTAAAGCAATTAGGAGAGTCATGTGTAAGGGCAGAAAGACGACTTTTTGCTCCCGAACGACGTTTTGATAAAGAACCGGAACTGAAGACACAATATACCGCCGTCATCGACGAATATCTGGAGTTAGGCCATATGACAAGAATAAATACCCATATACACAACAACGGGTACTATCGATTACTCTGTGGTGTGGAAGGCGACCAGTGACACGACGAAGCTTCGAGTCGTATTTGACAGATCCGCGGAGACTACCATCGGCATCTCACTCAACGACACACTACACACTGGACCAAAGATTCAAGACGACTTATTATACATCCTGCTCCGATTCCGCATACATCAATACGTTATCACAGGGGACATTGAAAAAATCTACCGTCATTTCCTGCTTCGACCAGAAGACCGCAAATATCAAAGAATTCTTTGACATAATCACTCTGGCACTCTACAAACCTACGAACTGAACACAGTCACATTCGGTTTATCAGCAGCATCATATTTAACAATCCGATGCCTTAAGTAGCTAAGCACAGCACGAAGGCCGTCGATACCCGCATGCCGTGAAGATTCTGCAACGCGACTTCTACGTGGACGACGTGCTCACAGGAGCGGCAACAAGGGAGGAAACGTTCACATTACGACAGGATCTCACAAAATTATTACGTCTTGCTGGTTTGAACGTTCGACAATGGGCGTCCAACGACTTCCATTTGCTCCGTGGACTACCGGCCAGCAAGATCAACAACAAATTACATCTCGGTGAATCCACTACGGTCATTAATTATTCAATAAGGATAACAACCTCGATGTCTCGGATTACAAAAAAATTAATCAGTTCGGAAATCGCAAAAATTTACGATCCATTAGGACTTTTAGGCCCAGTGATCATCGTCGCGAAGATTCTTCTCCAGAAAATTTGGACCTTAAAAATCGACTGGCATGAATCTTTGCCGATGGACATCCACCAAGCGCGGGTGCAATATTACAATAAACTCCCATTACTTAATAACGTCTCATTCAGCCGCAAAACAGCTATCGGAGCAGATGCTGAAATACAATTACACGGGTTTTGCGATGCCAGCGAAAGGGCATATGGCGCGTGCGTATACATGAGAACCATCGACTCAACCGGCAACATTCAGACCGAACTTCTCGTAGCAAAATCAAAGGTCGCCCTTTAAAATCGCAAACCTTTCCTTTCTAGTCACGACGGTACGAAACGCGCTCCACCTTCAAATCGATCATTGCAGCCTCTGGACCGATTCAACCATAGTTCTCCACTGGATAAACACATCACCTCATATTCTCAAGACATTTGTAGCAAACAGAGTTGCCGAAATTCAAGAGAAAACTCGAGCATCCGACTGGCACCACGTTCGAACAGAAGACAATCCCGTTGATCTCATCTCTCGCGGCCAATCGCCAGAAGAGTTTCTGAAACCATCCAGCTGACATAATGGACCGAAGTGGCTTAGGAAACAGGAATCTGACTGGCCGAGATGGGAGATACCGTCACTTTCGGGCATACTAGACGAGCAAAAGGGGACTATCTGCCTAGCAACCGCCCCGGTCGACACGAACGTCTTAGACCGATACTCGTCGTGGGGGGAAGTTACTAAGAGTCGTCGTTCGCTGCTTCCGTTGGAAACCCAATAACATCACTAAAGGAAACACCACAATACCGAAACTTCAGCGTGTACATGACGCAGTCATTAGGATGCTGCAATGAAAACACTTCGCGTATGATTTGGGAAACCTGGAAAAAGACCGGAAGGCCCAACCGAAATTGTAATGACTGGCTCCGTTCATTAACAAAGATGGTATTCTTCGAGTCGGTGGGCGATTGAGAAATTCAGAGATGCCTTTCTCAGCTAGGCATCCAATCGTGCTACCGAAGACGTACGCAACAATCCTATTAATCAGGCACCATCATATCATGCTCCTACACTCGGGAGTGCAAGCTACCCTATATACAATACGTAGGCGATACTGGCCCATTGACGGACGAAGTCAGGTATGGAAGGTCGTAAAGGATTGCGTACGCTGCTGCCGAGCTCAACCACCAACGGTAAACTACGTAATGGGCAACCTACCTGGAAACCGGGTCAAACAAACGAGGCCATTCACAAACGTCGGAATGGATTACTACGGGCCGTTCTTCATTAAGCAGCGATGACATCGCAATCGTATGCTAATTAAGGTATACGTCGCGGTGTTCGTCTGCTTCGCGGTGAAGGCGGTCCATCTCGAATTGGTAAGCAACCTTACTAGCGAGGCTTTCATCGCTGCTCTTCGCCGTTTTATAGCCCGAAGAGGCTTTTGCTCCAATATCTATTCCGACAACGGGTCGAATTTCGTGGGAGCTTACAACGATCTGTGCGAGGTCCAGGACCTCTTAAATTCACAGGATCATCATGATCGGATTCATTCATTTTTGGCCGAACGCAACATACAATGGCATTTCATCCCACCGCAGACTCCTCACTTTGGAGGACTCTGGGAGGCGGCAGTGAAATCATTTAAAAATCATTTCAAACGCGTCGCGGGCTCCGCGCTTTTTACGTTCGAGGACATGAACTCGCTGATTATTGAAATCGAAGTTGTGCTGAATTCGCGTCCTCTTACTCCTCTTTTTTCCGATCCGAACGACTTCTTGGTCCTTCCTTCTGCGCACTTCCTCATTGGCGCATCTCTGACGAGCCTACCCGAGCGGGATGTCAGAGACATAAACACTAATCGATTGTCGAGTTGGCAGCACATCCAGCAGATGAAGCAGCATTTCTGGACTCGATGGCATAAAGAGTATCTGAACGAGTTCAACAGCTGTACCAAATGGACCAAAGGATCGCACCTCATCAAGGAAGGCATCGTGGTCCTGCTACGGGAGATCAATCTGCTATCCATGCAGTGGGCCTTAGGCAGAGTGATAAAGGTTCATCCCGGATCCGACGGCATCATTCGTGCCGTAACAGTCAAGACTGCCACAACCACACTTGACCGGAGTATCAAAAAATTGGTGTCACTCCCATTCCAGTCCAAGGACGACAACATCCAGGAGCCTGCATGTCATGAAGAGATCATAGCTGATCATACAATCACATAACACTGCACACACTCACACATTCATCACAACTCTCATTCTTACACATCTTCCCTTCGATTTTCTTTGTTCATCGTAATACTCTCAACGGGGGGAGGATGTTAAGCAACACATCTGTCGACAATATCTCAAAAAGGGAAAGCATCGACAAATAGCTCATTATAAACCGGGTCAAGATTTCTAACTTTGTTTTTTGAATATTTCTACAAATCTTGATTCGTCGGTAGAGACAATAACTTTATGAAGCCATTGAACATCTATCGCGTCCTTCTCAAGTCAATGTTTTCTCGCCGACGACCACGGCTTAGAATTTTTATATTGCTTCTTTCATCATGTAGTGTTCGCTTCAGAGTGCTTTATAAGTTTATTGCCTGTTGCAACGGTCCGGGTTCGAGGCAAGCGGAACTTCGCGGCGGTCACTCAAGGGTATGTGTTATACCTGAGAGTGACCGTCAGCTTGGGGGTGGTCATTTCACACGTCTCTTTCCACAGTCTTTTTGTTAACCATTCATCTCAAAATCAACCACCACCCTCGCGATTTTCGACAAAATGAGTTTGACCAATCCGCATGTCTGAACCCAAAAACACGCCTCATCCGAGGCAACGACGAAGGAAACTCTCGAAGACAAGTCAGTTCCTCGTCAGTTCGCAAAAGGAGTACATCATTAGCTCACACAGTTCATCATTCAATTCCACGATAGTTCTATCATTTCACTCGCACACCAAACACTTTCACACTCCTTCAACTACGCATAATTTGTACTATTTTCGATTCGTTTGTTATTTCGTTAAATTTGTTGTTGCACAAACCCACCCATACTCATTTAAGCACCCCTTACCTGCGTAACAGTTCGTAAGGAAATCACGCTGTTTCCAACCACCGCGAAGTCGCGCGAACACAATTCTCTTTTGAAGGGTGTACGAATAATTCTGTGACTCGCTGTACACCCAATCATTTCTCATTTTTCCAAATCAGCGTTGACAATTGTTATTGCATCCTTTGTCATAAATGAAGGAAATTCTATGCTTTCCGATATTGATAATTTAACCCTTTGCACTCCGTTGTCGCATTTTAGTGACATTTTTCTATAATTTTTGAAACGTTAACGATATCGGAATGAGGTTTGAACTGAAAATCGTTAAAAAATAACCTCTTTGTAGTGATATATTTCACTACCGAAATTCATATAACATGAGATGTCGAAAATGGATACGCATTTCACTCATGATTTTTTACTGTGAGAAGTCACTGTGTTCACTATACTACGATCTTATACCCACGAAAATCTGCTCTAGACTGTTCTCCATCAGCTAAGCTCAAGTGCATTGGTCCCTTATCGCCGTATGTTTATAAATCGACACATGAAATGTATACACAAAAGTCGGCACGAACTTATGGGATGACCTAATATATTATAATATATTTAATTGCTTAAAATAAATATAAAAAAATATACAATTGTTATCCTTGAGGAATAAGCTTTCGATCAAGATATAACATGATGCCCCCCTGCTCTTTGTCCCAATAACTAAAGAGAAGCCAAAGTGTTTATATCATACTTTAAAGTTTATGTTTTTTTATAGAATTTAAATTGCAAGTTCAGAAGCCATTTAGTTTTCAAAGGATACAGAAATGGCAAATAATATTATTAGAAATTGTGTCAAAATCTACAGTATTTATATATGTATATAAATATTTAGAACAGTATAACTTTTTAAAAATTGAACCTAACGACTTGAGTTTTTTTGAGAAATTAGAAGGATTAGTATACTAGATGTCGTGTGCAAAAAATTTTTTAAAATTGCAATTGGAATCGCGAAGAAAATTGTAAAGGTCATATTTAACAACTTTTTTATCTGATAGTGAAATGAAAATTTAAAAAGTACATTTTGTAGATTTATGTCAATTATACACATGCTGAAAATTTCATCGAAATCGGTTAACGTTGCTATAAGCTACAAACGGTTAAAGTTTGTGAAAATCGCACTACATATTTTTCGACTTTCGGTTTATAACTGTAATAAATCTGAAGATTCCTACATCTTTCGATGCCTGTCGCTTGTTTCTGCATCAACCGATTGCATCAATACAAATTGAAATTTTTTCAAAATTTTTTGTATACGTCATCTAGGAAACAAATCCTAACATCTAAAAAAAAAACTCAAGTCGTTTGATCGAATATTAAAACAGTTATACTGTTCTAAAGGGTGTCCGGGTATTAAATTGGGTAACTGTACGTAATATAACATAATGCCGATACTTCAAACAGTAATAATTTACAAAGTAGGAAGAAGTAGGAAATGATTTTTACATCATTATGTAGAGGCAAGTGTCCTGAAAACATTCAAATTTGTCCGAATGTGGGATTATTTGGGACTCGAAAGATATTTCTTGTCAATTGTAAAGATTTTTGAAATTTTCTGTTTCATTAAACCTTAAATTTTTAATACATTAAGAACAATGATTTTAGATGAAACTATCGTTTCGGAAAGCAATGCTTTTTATTATAGAAACAAAGACGGATAGAAAATATTAAACAGGATCGTCAGGACATCGTAAAAAAGAAAACACATTTTTCGAGTATCAAATGTAAACTTAAAAACGTTCAACTTTAATTGTTCGATACAACTACAATTTGTATTCAATTTTATAAGTTCTTCTATTTTAGAGGTTAATGGACATTTAGAAAACAATACCAATTGAGTGAATATCGATATAAGAAAGTTCATTTTTTGACAAAATTTCACTCAAATCTTCGAATCAGTCCACTGTGCGGTGTGACAGTTAACGTGTTAAGAAATGAAGGTGATCTTCAATTTTTTAAATTCTATTTTTAACATATTAGTAAATTACAATTGTTCGCAAGCTGCTTGCAAACTGCTTGTGAAGAGACCTGACTAGTGTAAACCTTAGTATAACAACTCCTATGTCTGTTCTTATCTGTCCTTTAAACTCGTCAGAGGTCGAAAACTGTTTCTTACTTTCCGTTAATTGATCAAAGGCAATGCTGCTTACGAACAGTTAACGTGTAAAAGACTGTCCCATTCGAGAATAACCGGATTGATTCACTTCTAGTACTGGATAACTGTTCGTATTCGGTACAGCTGTGAAACTTTTAACGTTGAGGTCCTCCATTAGAAAGAGGTAGCAAGCAAAGGAAGATTCACATGCCCAATCAACACAACCAAGTTTTGTAACAATATTGTGTTTGGTATCATTTTAATCAGGAAAATCTCATCAATACTTTGATGAAATTTTTATTAACGAAAAATTGAAAATAACAAACTTTTGTAGTTTTGTTAGTATTGTCTCACGGGCATGCCGTCACTGAATTCGATAAGGAGATGCCGCGGCCGTGTCACATTAGTCCCTTGCCTGGTTCAAGGGTGGTCCCCCCTCGTGGTGGGGATAGACCATGAACAGTTAACGTGTAGATCCCAACGACTCTCATATTATAGAATCTTTACTATAGTACGAACATAATCGTCATCTATACCTGACCGAATATGTGATTGATTATTGATTTGCTTTTTGAAATTTTTGAAATATCGGTATTGCAAGATCTGAAAATTTCGATATTTTTTCTTCGAACACACTTTTCAAAACTAATTCGTATATATGATGGCGGTACGAAATGTCGGTCAACGTTTTGTTCTAAAATACCGCATTCACCTTGAAATCGTCCCATATTTGTAAACATTGTGTCACAGTAAATCGCTTGAATTTTATCGGTTAATTGGAATATTACTACCGCTTGTTCCTTACATTTCTTTATCGCAGAAAGTAGTTTTTCTCTTTGCTCATATGAAATAAGCACAGGCAATCTCTCTACCTGTTCTTTATCAAGGTATGGTAGCATTTTTTCATCCCAATGGATGGTTGCAGATTTCGGAGGGTTTCTTTGAAATGTTTCACGGAATTTTATACTACGTTCCGCGTGAAAACGATGGCGATAACGCCGGGTAGAAGATCGGTTAATTATCAGATTGTCTAACTTACGTCCCATAATCCGGCAGTAGCAAATATGATGCGAACTGCATCATGATCATTTATTTTGTATTTGTCCAAAGTTACGATAAGTTTCATACTGATAACTTACTGTTTCCCCCTTATCTCTTACGGGTTACTTGGATCTGGTACGTTAAGAAAATCAAGCTCGTCTGTAGTAGAATATTCGAACGCAGAATTTTCTGGTTTATCACTAAACGAAGTTGACATCAATCTACTAAAATTGTATGTCAATTTATATAAATAAAATTTACATACATCAATCTACAAATACGTTAAGAGAAATTTAGAAATAGAAATAATAACTTCTACTTCTGCCATCGCATCAAATCGTTGTTTCCGTAGCCCGAAAGGAAATATGTACCACGGCATCTTTTCTTAAACAAAAGAATAGAAATACAGGACAGAGATTCAGCTTGTACAAAAAATTACACAATAATCTTTAACAAAAAATAAAAATGTAAGTCAGAGATTCACTTTGAATTAAAAACAAAATGAAAATCTTCTTTCCACAAAAACACTATTTTAAGCATTTTGGCATCATTTCTTTTTATGCTTAGGTCATCTTATTATGAAAAAAAAAACAATAAAAAATATAATTTCAATGTGAACTTTACCTTGCTTAAACAAAAACAAAAATCATTTTCTTAGTACTACATATTTCTTTATGAAATAAGTTTTCTGTATATTACAGTCCGTGATATCTGATTAAACGCAATAATATTTCTTCAACATTACTCTGAACTCAACCTCAAATTAATATATTCTATTTTTCTATAATAATAGAACCTATTTGAAGAAGCTATATGCATTTGTTTTGGGTAATTGTTTATTTAGTATAAAAATATTCATGTTTTATAGAAGAAGATACAAATGTTCTTGTGCCGCAAAAAAAAAATCGAATAAGCTTTATTAATACTTTGTATGTCCACCATTTTTGTTTCTTACTTGAAAAGTACGATTTGTTATTGATTTATACAGTATGTCCAATTTA